CCAGTCTACTCCCCACCACCACCTCCAGTAAAGTCACCACCACCACCACCAACACCAACACGGACAGTAGAAGCACCACCACCAAGTGAAGAATTCATCATTCCACCAACCATCGGCCACCAATATGCATCACCACCACCACCAATGTTCCAAGGCTACTAATATTAGAAAGAGAGAGTGAAGTCGAATTATATAAATCACGTCATGAGGAGAAACAAAAGAAGATTACAAAAAGTGAGGAAGACTGAAGAAGAAAAAAAAAGAAAAAAAAGGAGGGCAAATGTATCTAGTAGTGACGCATTAACTCCTTAATTACGAGGAATCGTATAAAGTTTGTGTAGTAAAACAGGTTATATAAACATCTTTTTGGTCCATAAAAAGATTTTTAACACTTTGAAAGCACAAAGGAGTTGGTGTTTTGCATCATCGCTCAATCTATGACTATCCTATTTATCAGTCTCACGATCCCATATTTGTTGTGAGCTAGTTAAACCTTTATAAATTAATATTAATATTTGATATATTAATTATGGGAAATTTTCATAAATACCAATAAAAATGAGTAATTTCCCCAAAAATACTATTATGATTTTAATTTTCCAAAAATATCACTAAAATATATTTTTCCAAAAAACTACAAAATTAAAACCAGATTTTTAAAATTTTAATTTAATTTTTAAGTCATAAATATTATACATTGAACATAAAATAGTCAACATAAACTTTTAAAAATAAATTATATATCTTCAAAAATCAAATTTTTTATGTTTATGTTATTTTGGATTAAAAAAAATGTGGTATTTTTGAAAGAAAAAAAAACTTAAAGTGTAGTATTGGTGGGAATTTCTTTATTAACAAACAGTTATAGTTTTCATAGTAATATAGGAAGTACATATATTTTGTTTAATTTCTTTTCCTAATCATTTACAACAAAAAAAAAACCATATACCTGTTAAATTCAAATTAATCATTTTTGGCAAGAGAAATTTCCACGGATATGACTTATGAGACATGAAAAATTTCCCGATTCTAATTTTTATTTTTTGAAAAATAACTTGATCAAGTTCATGTTTTTTTTTTTTTTTTTTAACACTTGTCTAGTTCATGTTATACGAACGAAACAATAAAAATATATGCAGAGAGATAGACAGTTAATTTAGTGAAGGAAACCTATTGGTCCATTGGGTTATTATTGGGCCAGCCCAAAAAATAACGCAAGTTAGACTGTAATTACTTAAAAACGACACCGTATTAGCTGAAAATGCTTTTGCTGCACGACGAAGCATAAACATGATTTTCCGGTTAACTGAATTACAGTTTTCGATTTCCATTTCATTCCTTCGAACAAACCTAATCGCTCATTTCGAACATTTTGATCTCGAAATTGTTAACGAACGATGGAGGAAGATAAGCAAATGCACGAGGAGAAGGAGAAATCATCTCTGGTTAAAGAAGAAGCGGTTCGTGAAGAAGATCCCGAGGTTGAGAAATCTGCAGCGGTAGATGCGGATGCGACGCCGAAGAGCTCTGGTGGTTGGGGATGGGGTTTCTCTGTGCTTTCGGATCTTCAAAAAGCTGCGGAAGATATATCTCGTAATGTATGTTCCCATTCCGATTTTGACCCAATTTTTTAATGAATTTGAGCTTTAGATGTTGGATCTGAAGCGTATGGTACCAAAAGATTGCGTTTTTTGTGGTATTGGAACTCTGCATTATTATTTAGATGTTGTTTTCATGAGTTTCTTGTGGAGTGAGCTATTTCGAATTTTGGTATATTAGGAATCATCTGATGGGATGATGCATAAGTGTTTAAGGAAAGTTGGTTTGTTGAAATATTCATCCTTTTTAGGAATGATGATCCCTGATTTTCTCCACCCCTTTTAGGCAGCAGCAGTGGCGGAGAAAGCAGCTAAAAGCATTGCGGAAATGGGAGAAGCAGATGAAGACTCTGAGTCTTCTGCTAAGGAAGAAGAGAAAACTGAAGAACCGGATACAGAGCAGGATAGTGATGATGAGAATGCAAAGTTAAAGAGGTCAGCTCTCGAGAGATTGGAGGGTGCAAGTGAAGAGTCACTTCTTAGCCAGGCAAGTTTTTCTTGCTTCTTATGTGCAAGTCATTATTCATGTTTGTGGTAATAATATTGGAAATGCGATAACGCTCTTTCCTGCATATGACTTTGTTCTGCCATGTATATATATATTTTTGTTTGTCTTTGGCTTAAGTCGTTATTCTTCATTTGCTTATGCATTAGAATATACATAGTAACGAGATCTTACTTCTCCAGGGTTTGAAGGTTTTCGATGATTCAGTTGAGAGCTTTGCTTCTGGAGCTTGGCAGGCATTCGGGAACGCGTTAAAAGGGGGCACAAGTTTGGTGCAAAAGTATGTTCCTTTTATCATTCTTTTCTTTCTTATACTGAAAGCTTTAATCTTAAATGTGCAAAGTACAAATTTTGTGAACGAAAATGTTAAGGCCACCTTGACAAGAAGGAAAAGTAATCCTTCGGTTGGAGACAGAAGTGTTATAATTTAAAAGATTTATCAACACCAATATTAACTACTTCATTGTTTAGCTTTCCGTTTCTGCACTTAACAAGGGTCTGAGTCTCTGAGCATTTTAAATAGATTCTTCTTTTGGTAAATTAGCATGGTCTTTTTTGGTTCATTACCAGTAAAATGTTGGGGAAGCTATATGTGTCATTTCCTGAATACGATAATACCGTTTTTGCCTGGCTATACTGTGGTGGCTTAATGAACTAGAGGTCATGTGTTTCTTCAGTGTAGACTAGTTCCCCTAGGAAGAATGTCTAGCTATTAACGCTCCACAATTTCTCTTGTAGGCTTGAAAACAGTGTCCAGCAAGGTTCTTCCCCTAGGGAAGCTGGATCTGGTGCACCGTCTCTACTGGAGGTTTGTGCCTTTCGTGTCGTTTTCCGTCTTCTTAGCTTAACATTATATTTAGTTAGTCCATATTTCTGATCTGTAGACGGGAAAGGCTTTAACTGCCAAAGGAATGCAAGTACTTGAATTTGTGGGCAAAGAGACCATGGATTTACTGATTACAGAGACTGGGCTTGGTGAGAAGAACGGGGTAGAATTTAAGGATCAAGTACTTGAGGAAGTGACATTTGATCGATGCTTTTACATTTATGGTGGCCCTGAGCAGCTTGAGGTGACCTACTTTATGTCTGAAAATCACCTGGCAATTCATTCTCTGATATCGATTTTGTCTTCCCTCAATTTCTTGATCCATGGTGTTTCAGGAATTGGAAGCATTGGCAAGCCACTATACTCTGTTGTTCAATAGGAGAAAGGGGAAATTGTCACCAGATCAGAAATCGCTGTATGATGGAAAGCTCAAACAAATCCAACAACTGTTCAGCTTCGCTGATGAAACGAGTAAAAGTAAAGCAGAGTCTGACAAAGGGAAGAATATAGATATCAAAACTGAAGGCAATGATGACGACATGAAGAATCTGCATAACTCGAGTGTCAGCAAAGCTGCTGATATGGCTGCTGGGTAATTATGATTGTTTCCCTTTCCATCTATCAATTCCACATTTCGATTTTCTCCATCAGTTTCCTTTCTGTATTTTCTCATCAAATCACCACAACAATACATCCCTTCAATGCCCAAGAATGTTATAGGAATCAGCTGTTGTCCCTTCATATTAATTACTAAAATGCATTTCTCTATATGATTAGAGAAGTGAAAAATTAGAATCTTGGAATCTTGCGTCAGGATATTTCTCTTATTAAGATAAAGTGATAAATATGTACGGATTATATTTCGTTGACCTCTTTTTTATTTGTTTGTCATTTCTGTTTTTCAGGTTCACAAATGCTTTAACGGGACTAAACGTAAATGATATGATCCAGCGAACCGGTGGCAGGCTTGAATCTCTTCACTCTGAAGGAGTTCATGTGCGAAGAGTGATCCCTTCTTATTTCTGTTTAAAACTAAGAATTTTGATTCTACTACCTCTAGTATTTCCTTTTTTGGCTGGAAAAATCCCACCAACTAAGATGAAATCTGTTTCTGCAGAGACTTTCCGAGATGTGCTGTTTTGCAGTCACTCATCTGCTTATTCTTGGAAAGTCCATGATATCTCATGCCAACAAAGTTCAGGATGAAGACTCCGAGGCGTTGAAAATCGATTGGCCAGAGGATCCTACTGAAAAAGCTAATCTGATTAAAGGCAAGGCAGAATCAATGGCTGGCTATGTCGAAGCAGTTTCCAATAGTTTTATAACAGGTTGGTCCACAGTTATTTAACTTACTGTACTTTGACTAATAACTGATCTGTGCATGTCCTACCGAGTATCCTGGGTTGCTAGAATTACCTTATTTAAGGATATTAACTCATTTAATTTGTAAAGAACCTCAAGCAACGTCTCTTCTAACCGAAAAGGGAAGTTCTTGGAATTTACCCATTCGTTAGCCAGAAAAACAAAGGAGTTGAGAACAGCTCGAGTGTTAGCGGTTACTTAGTGTTTAGATACTTTGGTAACGAATCTACGTGAATACTGGTTTGATCCCATTTCAATACCCTAACAAAGCTCACTGTAACCACTTAAAATCCACCTTAGGTTGGGGTTTTCCCTTGCTTCAGGTTTAGTTTTGTATATAGTTAGCGTCTGGGATTTAGACAGAAGAATAAATGCTTGTGAAACTCGAGAACACTAGAAGAAAAGTGACAGTTTCTAAATACTCTTTTCCACATTGCAGGTATCTCAGATGTATCCGAAACATACTCAGCTGCGATTAAAGGAGTTACCGCTGCTGCTGATTCCAAAGATGAACTTCTGAATACATCAACCATGCAGGAAAAAGCAAGCACCTTCAACGATAGTCTTCGTTCTGACCAAACCACAGCTATCACAAAGATCCAGGAAGGACTTCAGTACTTATCCTATGTTGTGATATCTACCTCAATGCCCTCCGCCTAATATAATAAGAGTTAGATTGGTCTTTATATGTTGGTTTTTCTTTCTATAACATGACTTGGATTCGAATTAGTTTTCTTTGTAGATATTATCATCTCTTTCCCTAGGCTGCTCTTTATGGTAAGTCTCTCCCGACTTGTCCTCTGCTTCTTTGTTTGTCTGGATCTTGAATGTTTGAATGAAATCTAGAAACCAAAGATTAAAGCAGGGAAGAGATTTAGTAGTTTTATTTTTGTTTAAAACATGCTGTTGCTTCCAGAGTATTTACTTGGAAATTGCTTTAGCTGTGTGATTGATATGTAAACGTTAGCTTTCAATATTTGTTGACATATATACATTTGCGTATGACATGACTTACATGCTGTTTTCGGAAATATGCAAATGATCATCTAATTAATAGGTATGATGACATGCTATTATTGTGAGAGAGAGAGAGAGAGGGCTACAAAATGTTTTTGTGTCTATTGAGATGAATTTGTGTACGATATACACAAGAACAAGGGATCAAAGCAACAAAAGACCCAAACCATAACGTTTAAACGAAAGTAGATATACATCTTAAAGAGGAAAAGGGTCATTTCATTATCCGTACAAATTCAAAAGTTTAAAATTATAGGCTTTGATGAGTTACCATGAGTTAAGATTGAGTTATGATTATAACTCAAAAATGTTACCAATCATGTTTTAATTTTAAAATTTTGAGTTAGAGTTTGAGTTTTGTTGAGTTATGTTTTACTTATATTTTTGAGTTATCTCTTTTGTAAAATTCTTAACTCAAAACATAATGCAACATCATGGAAATTTCCATGAGTTAAGATGTGGTAAATTGAAGTTACTTATTTTTTTCAATTAAAAAAACGAAAATACAGTTATATAATACAATAATTCGTTATTTTTGTTTTATTTTAATTCATATATCAATAAAAAAAATATTCTTACCATTTTTATGCTACTTATTAAATTATCTTAAAAATATTAAATTTCTTATATTTTACCAAGTTTCTAAAAAATGATAAAATTGTAAATATTATGGAATGTCCGTAGATAATTTGTTTTTAATTTTTAATGTTACAAAACAACTACGTAATTGTACATAAAATTATCTTACTATTTATACATTTAAAATTATATATATATATATATATATATATATATTCACTAATAATTTTTAGTAATTATAATTATCAATTATTTTAAATTAAATTTACTTAAATAATACGTATCGCAACATCTACAACAAAGATGTTATCAGTCAATGATTTTAATGAGATTAGTAAATCATATTTCTATAGCGACTCACTACATCAAACTGCTATGTTTACTTCAAAATATTTACAGTAAGTTACATCAAATTATAATTTTTACTGCAACTCAATTTTGTTAACTCATGTTACCAGTTGGGTGTTATTTTTTGGAAAATTTAAAATCACCATATCTAATTTAATGCTACATCACTCTCATGACACATGTCATCTGAGTTACTATCTCACTATGACACGTGACGTATGAGTCAACATATGTTAATGTGGAGTTTAAAACTGATATTATTTATACTAATTGGATATGACTTTTGAATTTTGTTTAAGTTTGGATAAAAATTGGCACTACATCTTTGTACATGTAGAAATCAGTACTTTTAAATTTGTTCGGGTATGAAATGGCCACTTTCCCATCTTAGAGAGTCCTAGGCATTCTGATACTTGCTTGGTTCAGTATTTTTGGTTTTTGGATCATTCTTGATTGGTATGTTTGGTTTTCGGATCATTCGGGTTTTTTTTTTTTTTTGAATTTCGGTTCAGTCTTGCTTCGGTTTCTTGTGTGAAACGCTTAAATATAGAGAGTATTATCATGAAGCCATTGTAGTTCACCATTAGGTTTTACATGCACATCTATCTACTCGGCTTCAACATATGATCACGAGACAACACTTCGCTTTCCATGAAACATGTTAAGCTCTTACAGTCTCAAACCACCTGATCTGAATCAAACCACGATATCCCCAATCTGAGTCACAACACTTGTGCACCTTTTCTGAAACGTTACATTGTTTGATAATGTGACAAAACACTAATTTTGTTTTATTCTTAACCTTTTAGAAAAAGTAGAAACAGTCCAATATTCTTAATTTTGCACAACACGCAAAAATTCACCTGGTTGTCAGTACTTAAACACGTTTTACTTCACATATAATGATTGTTTTGTAATAGATATGGCCGTTTCTGTCAGAAACAAAACAAAAAATATTTTGGTAAATTCATAATTTGGTCAAGCTTTGTTTCCTACTTTTTATCCAGTCAAGAATCTCTACAGTTTCGTTTTTTTGGTAGAAATGTATTCTTGTTTTTGTTTTCAGAAATTCATTATTTTCTCATTATTCATTAATAAAAATAGAGATTTTTTTTTTCTTAAACACCACATTTTATGTTTTTTTTTTCCAAAAAAATACTTTTATTTTTTTCTTTGAAAAAATACTGTAAACATAAAAAATCGTTTTTTCAAGCTATGATATTATTTATTTATTTGTTTGGGTTGAGAATTTATGTTTAGGGTATAATTTTCAGAGATAGGGTTTAGTGTTTAGGATTTCTAATTTAGTTTTTTTTTTTCAACAGTGGTAGAATTTTGTTTTGAATGTTTAAAATTTTAAATTAGGTTTTGTGGTATTTTCGGAAAAATGTATTTTAGTATTGTTTTTGGAAATAAAACTCATAATGTTACTTTTTGGAGAAAACAATACTCATTTTAGTGGTATTTAAGAGAATTCTCTATAAAATATATCACTACCTTACTTAATTTTTTTATTTTTTTGTTTCTGTAATATTGTTACTTTTATTTTTTGACTAAAATATTGATACCTTTTTACAATATGAAATAAAGAACAATATAATTTATTCTTCCACAATACCACAAGTCTATATATATTGACTCAATTCTGCATTGGAAACTCAGAAGAAAGAAAGAAACAAAACACAAAGCATCAAACAATGCCACTCTTGCTCTGTTTCTTCTGTTTCTTACCCATTTTCTTCGTTTCCTTATCAATCTTCTCCACAACTCTAAGAAGATGGAAGCTTCCTCCGGGGCCAAAAAGGCTTCCGATCATTGGAAACTTACACAACCTCAAAGGATTGTTACACATATGTTTTCGAAACCTCTCCCGAGAGTTTGGACCAGTGATGCTTCTCCATTTCGGATTTGTTCCCATGGTCGTGATCTCATCTAAAGAAGGAGCAGAGGAAGCTCTCAAGACCCTAGATCTTGAATGTTGTAGCCGGCCAGAGACGGTAGCGACCAGAATGATCTCTTACAACTTCAAAGACATCGGATTCGCGTCTTATGGGGAAGAATGGAAAGCTTTAAGGAAGCTCGTGGTTATGGAGCTCTTGAGCGTGAAAAAGTTGAAGTCATTGATGTACATTAGAGAGGAAGAGAATGACGTGATGGTCAAGAAACTGAAAGAGTCAGCTTTGACGCAATCCCCTGTGAATCTGAATAGGACTCTTTTCACACTCGTTGCGAGTACTGTTTGTAGGCTCGCGTTCGGGATAAATATCCATAAGTGTGAGTTCATTGACGCGCATAATGTTGAAGATCTAGTTCACAAGTTTGAGTTGCTCAGCGATGGTTTTGCTTTCTCTGATTTGTTCCCTAGGGTTGGTTGGCTTGTTGACCGGGTTTCTGGTCAGAACAAGACATTGAATAATGTTTTTTCGGAACTCGATACTTTCTTCCAGAATGTTCTAGATGATCACCTTAGTTCTGGAAGAAGAGTACCAGAGACCCCTGATGTGGTTGATGTGATGGTTGATCTAATGAAGAAGCAAGAGAAAGTTGGAGACTCATTCAAGCTCACTACAGATCATTTCAAAGGAATCATATCGGTAATTAAATCTTCTTCTAGACTTCAACACCTTCAGCATTATTACAAGCTTGTGACATTTGTGATTGTGATTGTGTCAGGACATATTTTTAGCAGGAGTAAACACAAGTGCCGTTACTATGACTTGGGCAATGACAGAGCTGATTCGAAACCCGAGAGTGATGAAGAAAGTACAAGAAGAGATCCGGACAACACTCGGGGACAACAAGGAGAGTATAACAGAAGATGATCTCAATAAGCTTCACTACTTTAAGCTCATGGTCAAGGAGACGTTCAGGTTACACCCAGCAGCTCCACTCTTGCTCCCAAGAGAGACATTGTCTAACATCAAGATCCAAGGCTACGACATCCCGGCCAAAACACAGCTTATGATCAACATCTACTCCATCGCACGCGATCCAAAGCTCTGGACCAACCCCGATGAGTTTAATCCTGAAAGGTTTCTTGACAGTTCCGTAGATTACAAAGGACTAAACTTTGAGCTTTTACCATTTGGTTCTGGTAGGAGAATATGTCCAGGGATGGCCATGGGAGTCTCTAGCGTCAAACTGGGACTGTTAAACTTACTCTACTTCTTCGATTGGGGATTGCCTCAAGGGAAAACTGCGAGAGACATTGACTTAGAAGAAACTGGATCGATCATTGTCAGCAAGAAAGCAAATCTTGAACTTGTTCCATATCTAATAAAATCATGCTAGTTGTAGTTTAAAAAAAAAATTATAAATAAGTTTTGTGATAAATTTTGTTTTAGTAGAAAATTAATTAAGAAAATTAAAAAACTTATAGAGAATTATCTTTAAATATCACCAAAATATGTTTTGTGGATAATAAAAGTACATATTCCATAAATTTGTAAAAATAACACTAATTAACGCAAATTATAATATTTTAAATATTTTTAGGAATTTTTCTAAAGTTTTTTTGGGTTTACTATTTTTACATTTAGGAGAGTTGCGAAAACTACTGGATAGGTATCCTACATCTGAACTGAGTTTTTATATATTTTTTAGAAGTAGGGTTTATTGTTTATTGTTTAGAGTTTAAGATTTAATTTTAAAAATTTTAATTTTGAAATATTGTGCTATTTTGGAAAGAAAGAAAATTGTGTATTAAGTTTGGAAGAAAAAAATTAAATTAGTGCTATTTTTGAGAATTGCTAAAGTTGTATTTACGTATAATTTAAATTGCAAGTTCTTAGAAAATAATTAAAAAAAAAAAAAAAATGTTTGTATGTTATAGTGTTGTTGGGCCATTAGTGCATGTATAGTGGTGGCCGGTGAAGATTTGATTATGCCACACATGAAGGGGATGATGATGGTTTCTCGTTTTGTGGGTAGGGTTAGGTTTTATTCGAATAACTTTAGATTTAAAATGATAACATTCTAGTTTTATAACAAAATTTTCAATGTGATCATGTCTTTGGCGTGTGTATATTGTGAAGATTGAGGATTCTGACAACTATTATCAAGTGCGTCAAACTCATTTAATACACACATGTAATGCATGTGGAGGACCATAGTAATTCTACTATAAACAAACTCAAACAAAAATTACAGGAGAGAAAGAATTACGAAAACCAAGAATGTATAATTTTTTTTTATAAGTCTTATGGGTAATCTAGATTCGGTAAAAACGCACCAAAATACTTTAAAATTGACTATTTTCCAAAGAACAATTATTTTGTATGTTCCGAATTTGAAATGTTTTCTAACTGTGGAAAAAATTTTCACATTGGAAAATGCGATGAGACTTAAATAATACTCCCTCTGTTTCATTATAAGTGATGTTTTAGCCAATTTTTTTTTTGTTTCAATATAAGTGATGTTTTCAATTTCTATGAAGAAATTTAATGTATTTAATATTTTTTGACCAATTATATTTTTTCATATTTTTTTATTAGTTGAATTCATATTAGTTAATGATGTTTTTATGTAAAATAGGTAAGTTATATGTTTTATTATTTAATTTGCCAAAACCTTAAACATCACTTATAATGAAAGAGAGAGAGTATATAAAGGTTTAAAGCCAATCTACTCATTGCCAATTGGTTTTGAGTTAGAACCCTATAAGAAACCCTAATTTAATATTAACTAATGTCAAGGATAGTAAGATTGGCTAATTAATTCATTGCAATCTTTCCCTAATTCTCCTTTACCACTGGACTTCTGTTGTGCAGAAAGACTGGTATAATTTTGGATGATCACAAGATAATAACCATTCTCATATTAGAAAGGCTAATTGGCGGATTAGCAACATAACTAAAATTTGGGCTAAACTATTAATAGAGCTAGCTAGTGAAGTCGCTGATTCCAGACCGAAGCTTTTTATTGTTACCAGTATTCATGCATGCATTATAACTAAGCAAACCTAGGAAGTGTTTGCTTTGCAAAAGTCAGATTCCAAAATGTTGGTTCGTACGTTAATATATATCATATTCCACGCAGTTCAAGTGATCATTATATATTGTCTAACTCATTAGTCAACAATAATAAACTCTTTCACAAGTAGTGCATGTGTTGATGTTTATCTTTCTTGCACGACATCGATGTAAATCAATATAATCTATTTTTTGTAATAATATGTATAATAATATCATACATCAATCAATATAATCTTTTTTTTTTCTCTCTTAAATCATACTTAAGATGTTCTGCAAATCAATCATGGCTCAACATACTATTTATTATACGAAAGAATAGTTCAATTGTATGTTACTAGGTTATTAGGTAAACAACAAAGACTCAAGATCATGTATATTGGTGAAACTTGCTTTGGTCTCAATTTTTTTTTTTTTACGATTTAAAAAAGAACAAAAAAATAATCAATCGCGGGCTGTCATATGTTAGTGAAACCTGCGAAAAGTGGACAACAATACACGGGACCCTTTTTTTTCATTTTTGATTTTTTTTTTTACTCTAAATTATATAGGACTTTTGTATGGGTATGCTAATGCAGGTGCCTTAAGCTCAAGCCTGAACTTCTTTACATAGGTATGATTTTTGTTTTGAGAGAGCTCGAACCCATTCACAAGTCTCACCGGTTAATGGACCACATGTATATATGGAGTTAGCTTGAGAGATCCTCTAGTATAAAAAAAAATAACAAATACAAATCAATCATGGCTCTCAAAAAGAGGTCCTCATAAAGATGCCTGAAAAAATTGGTCCTTCTACATAAATAGCATTAAAGTGTCTCTGTATAAGCAAAGAAAATTCAAAGTACATATAGGCTATAGCTCAAGACTTGACGATATCAATATGATATTTTTTGTGGGTTTTTATATATGTAGTATGATAAGTACGGGAATAATTAACAAATGATTGTCTCTGATTCATTAAAATAGTCCAACTCTTTTAGCCAAACATACATAAAATACTCATAACAATGCATTACAAAATCTGAGCATGTTTCTATGCCAAGTTCCAAACAAATACCAAATTGACATATTGATTGTGGTTGAACCGTCTAGTCTTGAATAGTGAAATAAAGTTTAGATGCCATGTGTTTGAAACCTATAACGATGTTCATATTCCATGGAGCTTGTCAATGTGAGTACAGTAAAATTAATAGAGTTTTGTCCCAATATTATTAATTAATTTATAGAAGTTTTACTTTAGACGGTTGCAAACGGTCTTGTCGATAGAGCCAATCATTTTAAAATGTAATTGGAAACTAAGCATTTTATAAAGCTTTTCATATCGTAATAACTTATAAATGACATAAAATATATAACTATACAAAATAAAAGCATCTGACAAAGACATATCACCCAATACTTTTTTGAGTTTTTCCTCTAACTACACCAATTAAACTTTAAAGCCCTAAAACTCTATCCAAGTTTTTTCAAGTTGGGTAAAAGGTTATGTGTAGCTTTAGACTTTAAAAGAAACTGTAAAGGTTAATGTAAAAAAAAATGATTTGTGTGGCTGTTGATAACTTGTAAAACACTTATCGCGTAATGAATTGTCTTTAATTGATATGGGTTTTAAAGGGAGCCCCTATACATGGAGGAGGGGTCGTACGGCGAGGACTTACATAGCCAAACGATTAGATAGGATGTTTTGCAGCCCGCACGCACGTTTGCGATGGCATGAAGGGGTGGTGAGACATTTGCCTTTCTTATCGTCGGACCATGCACCGTTATATGTGCAATTGAGTCCAGCGGTTTTGGGGGATCCAAGGAGAAGACCGTTTCGCTTTGAAGCGGCCTGGATGCAACATGAGGGTTTTAAAGATTTGTTGGCTGCGTCATGGGATCCGCATATTACGACCCCGAGAGCTTTGGAAGGTTTACAGCGGACGTTGCGGAGATGGAATCAGGAGGTCTTTGGGAACATAATCACGAGAAAGGAAAATTTGCTCCGGGAGTTGAAAGAGGTGCAGGATTTGCTGGCAGTGGTTCAAACAGATACCTTGTTGGAGAAGGAAGAACACTTGTCTACGCAGTTAGAGAGCTTGCTTGAACATGAGGAAATTTTGTGGTTCCAGAAGTCAAGAGAGAAGATGATTGCGTTGGGTGATCGAAATACTACCTTTTTTCATACTACTACCATTATTCGTAGACGGCGGAACAAGGTGATGATGTTGAAAGATGATGAGGGCAGATGGATTTCCGATAGTGTGGGGTTAGAGACGTTAGCTCTCGACTACTTTAAGAAGTTGTACTCGTTGGAGGGGCTAAGTGTGAATCGACCACAATTGAGTATGAGTGGTTTCCCGGTGTTGACGAGGGAGGAGACGGAGAGTTTGTCAAAACCATTCACGGGGGAGGAAGTAGTGGTTGCGGTGAAAAGTATGGGCAAGTACAAAGCTCCGGGGCCGGATGGGTATCAACCCGTGTTCTACCAACAATGTTGGGAGGTTGTGGGTAGCTCTGTGCAACGGTTTGTTTTGTATTTCTTGGTATCAGGTGAGTTACCAGCGGCGACGAATGATGCCTTGATTGTTTTGTTAGCCAAGGTGGAGAACCCGGAGAGGATAACACAGTTTCGGCCCGTAAGCTTGTGTAATGTCCTGTTTAAGGTGATAACGAAGATGATGGTTATAAGGTTGAAAAATGTGATATCCAAGCTTATAGGTCCGGCACAAGCAAGCTTCATTCCAGGCCGCTTAAGCATTGATAATATCGTCATTGTACAAGAAGCCGTGCATTCTATGCGGAGAAAAAAAGGGAGAAAAGGATGGATGTTGTTGAAGTTGGATCTCGAAAAGGCTTATGATCGGGTCCGTTGGGATTTCTTAGAGGAGACCTTGGGTGTTGCGGGTTTGGATGAGGAGTGGAAAAGAAGGATTATGCAGTGTGTTTCTAATCCTTCCATGTGCTTGTTATGGAATGGGGAGAAGACAGAATCCTTTGTCCCAGAGAGGGGGTTGAGACAAGGGGATCCTCTTTCCCCATATTTGTTTGTTTTGTGTCTCGAGAGACTTTGTCACCAGATTGAGGAAGCGGTTGGTCGAAAAGAATGGAAACCTATCACTATTTCACGCGGGGGACCGAAGTTATCGCATGTATGCTTTGCGGATGACATTATTCTGTTTGCCGAGGCATCCGTGGAGCAGGTTAGGGTGATCCGGACGATTCTGGATAGGTTTTGTATGGCTTCGGGTCAGAAGGTGAGTATGGAGAAGTCGAAGATATTTTTCTCTGCGAATGTGAGTCGTGACATGGAAGGGTTGATAACGGGAGAGAGTGGTATCAGCTCTACACGTGACCTAGGCAAGTATTTGGGCATGCCGATTCTACAAAAGCGGATTAATAAGGAGACTTTTGGGGAAGTCCTACAGCGGGTGTCGTCTCGTCTTGCGGGGTGGCGGAGTCGCACTTTGAGCATGGCGGGCCGTGTGACGTTGACGAAGGCGGTCTTGTCCTCCATACCGGTGCATACGATGAGTGTAATTCTACTTCCGGCATCTATATTGAAGGGTTTGGATAAAATTTCTAGAGCGTTCGTGTGGGGAAGTACACCGGAGAAACGGAGAATGCATTTACTAGCTTGGGACCGTGTGACTAAGCCGAAGAGGGATGGAGGTTTAGGGATCCGCGAGTCTACCGAGATGAATAAGGCGCTGTTAGCAAAGATTGGATGGCGGTTATTGGCGGAGGATGAGAGTTTGTGGGCTCGGGTGTTACGACGAAAATACAAAGTGGGGGACATTCATGATGAGGCATGGTTACGACCGAAGAGCTCCTGGTCGTCAACTTGGAGGAGTATTGGTGTGGGCCTGAGGGAGGTGGTGTTGAAAGGTATAGGCTGGGTACCGGGGGATGGAACAAACATCCGTTTTTGGACGGATAAGTGGCTGCTTAGCCGGCCATTGTTGGATGGGGTCTCGGGTCGGCTCTCGTTGGAGGATAAAGGGCGGACTGCAGAGGAGTATTGGATTGATGGGGTCGGTTGGGATATGACGAAAATTGGGGGTTTGTTACCCGCGAATGTATGTCGGTTGTTGTACTCGGCGGTGGTAGTCCCGGATACGGCAGATCACATGTCTTGGAAAGGAACGGAGAATGGGAGTTTTACGGTCAAATCAGCTTATGATATGGTCACGGATGGGGGCGTTGTGACTCAATGCATGTCTAGATTTTATGACCGGATTTGGAAAGTGGAGGCTCCCGAGCGGGTTCGGGTATTCTTATGGTTAGTGTCGCATCAAGTGATTCTGACGAATATGGAGCGGTTTCGCCGGCACATGTGCGAGACGGCAGTATGTTCAGTGTGTAATGGGGGTGTCGAGTCAATCCTTCATGTTCTGCGAGATTGCCCGGCCATACAAGGGCTGTGGAGGCGGTTAGTACCGGTGGGCAGTGTGCGGGAGTTCTTCACGCAAACCTTGTTAGTGTGGCTATTCGAGAATTTGACTTCGACGGTGGAGGTAGGAGGAGTGAGCTGGCCAACAATCTTCGCCATGACCGTGTGGTGGGGTTGGAAGTGGCGGTGTAAGGATGTTTTTGGGGAAAGAGGCTTATGTCGGGATCGGCTAAGTTTTATAAAAAAGGTGGCTGGGGATGTGCGGACGGCTCATTCAAGGGTTGGACATGGATCGAGCCCGGATGGGGGGATAGAGAAACATGTAGCTTGGAAGAAACCTATGGACGGGTGGGTGACGGTTAACACAGATGGGGCTTCGCGGGGTAACCCGGGTGAAGCTACAGCGGGGGGAGTGATTCGGGATGGCGAGGGTTCTTGGTTAGTGGGATTTGCCCTAAATATTGGGTTTTGCACTGCCCCGATGGCGGAATTTTGGGGTGTCTATTATGGTTTGGTTTTGGCGTGGGAGCGAGGTTGGAGACAGTTGGTGGTGGAGGTGGATTCAGAGTTAGTTGTGACTTTTCTACGATCGGGGGTCGACAACGCTCATCCGCTAGCTTTCCTGGTACGGTTGTGCCATGGCTTTCTTTCAAGGAACTGGTTAGTTCGGGTTACGCATGTGTATAGGGAAGCTAACCGTCTCGCAGACGGGTTAGCAAACTATGCTTTTTCTTTACCGCTCGGGTTTCAATTGTTAGAGGTTTGTCCGGATGTTTGTCGTTCGGTGCAAATGGACGATGTCAATGCTGTTTCTTTTCCGCGGATTGTCCGTATGTAATTTCGTTTTGTTTTAATAAATTATAGGAGGCTATTGTCTCCTGTCTATTACCAAAAAAAAAACACTTATCGCGTAATAAATAAACATTTGACAAGTTAAGAAGAATTAGTTGATATAGGTTTATTAAATTCATAAGAAATAATAAGATATATTCTGAATCTGGACATGTACGTAGTTACGTACATATCTTGTTGTCCGAAACCGGGACCAGTGTGTTCACGCACGTCTTATTCGTCAACCTCTTTTCAATTGCCACAATCTTTTCAGATCTGTTCCAATTTTGTTAAAATAATTTTTTTGCAACAAATATGGCTTAGATTGGATCGTAAAATCTTGATTAAAAATGTTTTGTTTCCAATAAAATTCCAACATTGTAACCAAAAACACGAAATCCGAAATTGAAACAAACAATTACAAATTCCTACGGTCGGAAATTGCTATGTTTTCTTGTAGCGATATATACGAGAAAAGGCTAAAACGTGATTTATAAGAAAAACTAAGTAATGAAAGAACATGAACATACATCTAAAAAAAAAAAAGATTAAGAGAAAAATAATATACAAGAAAATTACAAACTCAGGGATGAAAGCCGATCATGATGTGAGGGGAATAAGGGTGACTAGAGGAGGCGGAGTGAGAGTAGAGGCCACGGCGGAGGAGAGACTGAGGAGGAGGAGAAGAGTGGCTGAAGAAGATTCTGACGGCGTCAGCCACCACCACTAAGAACTCCATTGCTAGCTTCATAATCTCTATGCATAGCTCTATTCTCTTTATCACCATCCTCTCTTCTTTTAGTTTTTTTGCTTTCTCTACCTTCAAATCCATCATCAATGTCTTTGGTATTATATATTTATAGAAAGTTTGCATGCCATGTGAAATTATATGTGTATAACTTAAAACTATTGTATAACTTGTTTTGACTTTTCTGGATGAATTAATTCTAAATCATAAATTATGAAGAAAAAAAACTATAATAAATTGGTAGAATGATTCTGCGGTTTTTATAGTTTACCTTACAATTATCTACGGAAATGTATCATTTTTTTAGTTCTCTTATTCATTAATCCACATTTTTTTTTCAGGATTTGTTACTAAAAAATCAAAAGAATGTTTTACTCATTGCATTATATATATATATATATATATATATATATATATATCGTTTTCACTCTTTACGTTACATTAATCCAAGCTATATAAAAAAAAATGACAATTTGATTTGCAAATTAGGGCAATACCCATGCCTTTCGTGAATTTTAGTGTCTGCTTTATCTGATAGAAAAACACGAAATAAACACCACTGTGTCTGATCTTTCTCGGGGTACATGTACTTTGAATTAATTGCAACGACTCTTTAGCTTGATGAAGAGACTATTTTTTTATATTGCTTATGTGGATATAAATCAATGGACATGAGCGTTTGGGTTGGGTTTTTGAGTAATATTATTTTAGCCTTTTAGGTTTAGAAATAGTACTTTTATAAATTTTAGATTTGGATCGAGTATTTTTTTTATGTCAGATTCAGTTTTATCGAAAGTAGCCAAATATATTAAAATTTTGTATCCGAATCTATCTAAACTATCCAAAAATACATAAAATCAAGAAATTTTAAACATTTTTTTATCCTAATCTATCCAAAATACTTAAAATACCAAAAACATTTTTAAAAACCGAAAAATTATGATATTTTAGGCACTTATATATAACACTTATAAGTTATAATGTTACTAACGTATTATCACTATGTATACTTGTATTTCGAAAAATTCTTATAGTTTAGGCACTTATATGTAACACTTGTTCAAAATTGGATTCGGCTTAGTTTGGTCCAATTTACACTAGCACGAGAAAAAACTAATTAAAAGAAAATTATAGTTATATAATTAATAATTAATTTGTTGGTTTTCTATTTAATAGAATGGTAACTTATTAAATTAAAGTCAGGTTCAGATCAGTTAAACTATATATTTTGAAATTATATCATATAATTTTGAGCTATCCAAGAGTTAAACTATGATCATGACGAACGTTAACATATGGGTTTGGATTCGCGGGAAGAAGATCTAAAGAAGTTTAAAAATGTAAATTAAAGCAAAACCAAACCAAACCAAATCAAACCAAACCAAACCAAATAGTAAATATGTATACCGAACTGAAGTGAAAAAAGATTAGGCAGAGACGACATCCAACGGCCACGCGCGATGCAACAATGATAGTCACCGGAGCTTGCGACTTCTCGTCATCACTCTCCGTCACCTCTTCCTCCTTCTCCTCCGCTATCTCCGTCTCTGTCACAGCCTTCAACATTTCCTCTCTCTCCTCTAACCCCAAATTCATCAACTCCAGCTCAACTCTCTTCCGTTCCCTTTCCTTCTCCCTTATCCACCACCGTATCAGCTACTCATGCCGCTCCCTCCGCCGTCTCTCCTCTCATACGGTCCATAGGAACAAAACCCAATTCGTCTCGAAGTCATCTACACCGACTCCACCACTCTCCACGGCTAAATCCACGGCTCAGCGAACCGGGACTTTCGTCGAACACCTTACAGGCATTACAGAATCGGAAGATGAAACGAACGAATTTGGAGATGTGGAGTCAGCTAGGAACGACATAAGGAACGTCGTGACTGGTAGAGTAGAGACGGAGTTTGAAGTTAGAGAATTGGAAGAGTTGCCGGAAGAGTGGCGACGATCTAAGCTTGCCTGGCTGTGTAAAGAGGTTCCAACGCATAAGGCCGTGACGCTTGTGAGGCTATTGAATGCTCAGAAGAAATGGGTTCGTCAAGAAGATGCTACTTACATTGCTGTTCATTGTATGCGGATTCGTGAGAACGAAACTGGATTCAGGGTAACAACCTTTTCGAACAATTCATCAAAAAAATGGCTTCTTGATGCTTAGTTTGTGGCTGATTTGTGCTGAAAGCTTTGATCTTTTAGGTGTATAGATGGATGACACAGCAGAATTGGTATCGGTTTGATTTCGGGTTAGCTACAAAGCTAGCTGATTTCTTGGGGAAAGAACGGAAATTTACGAAATGCCGGGAGGTGTTCGACGATATTTTGAATCAAGGGCGTGTTCCGAGAGAGTCTACATTTCATATTCTTGTAGTTGCATATCTAAGTAGCTCAGTAGAAGGCTGTCTCGAAGAAGCGTGTCGCGTTTACAACAGAATGATTCAGCTTGGAGGGTACCAACCGCGTCTTAGTTTGCATAATTCTTTATTTAGAGCTCTCTTGAGTAAACAAGGAGGGGTTTTGAATGATCACCTTAAGCAAGCTGAGTTTATCTTCCATAATGTTGTGATAACCGGGCTTGAGGTTCAGAAGGATATTTATAGTGGACTCATATGGCTGCATAGTTGTCAAGACGATGTTGACATAGATAGGATAAACTCTCTAAGAGAAGAGATGATGAAGGCGGGTTTTCAGGAGAGTAAAGAAGTTGTGGTTTCTTTACTGAGAGCATATGCGAAAGAGGGAGGTGTGGAAGAAGTTGAGAGGACATGGCTTGAATTGCTTAGTCTAGATTGTGGTATACCTTCTCAGGCGTTTGTGTACAAGATGGAGGCTTATTCTAAAGTCGGCGATTTTGCAAAAGCTCTGAAGATATTTAGGGAGATGGAGAAGCATCTAGGTGGTGCAACTGTGACTGGATACCACAAAATCATTGAGGTTCTATGTAAATTCCAGCAAGTGGAATATGCAGAATCTCTCTTAAAAGAGTTTGTAGAAAGCGGAAAGAAACCGCTTCTACCGTCATACATCGAGATAGCCAAGATGTACTTCGATTTAGGTTTATATGAGAAGTTGGAGATGGCTTTTATTGAGTGCTTGAAGAAATGTCAACCTAGCCAGACCATATATAACATATACTTGGATTCACTGGTTAAGATCGGTAACTTAGAGAAAGCAGGAGATGTCTTTGATGAAATGAAGAACAACGGGACAATCAATGTGAATGCTATATCATGCAACACCCTTTTAAAGGGATACCTTGATTCTGGAAAACAAGTGCAGGCAGAGAGAATTTATGATCTGATGAGATTGAAGAAATACGAAATCGAACCACCGGTCATGGAAAAGCTTGATTACATCCTGATGTTGAAGAGAAAAGAAGTGAAGAGACCGTTGAGCATGAAGCTAAGTAAAGAACAGCGTGAGATATTGGTAGGTTTGCTATTAGGTGGCTTGCAAATCGAATCAGACAAAGAGAAGAAGAGCCACATGGTCAAATTTGAATTCAGAGAGACTTCTCAGGCTCATCTGATTCTAAGACAACACATACATGACCAGTTCCGCGAGTGGCTGCATCCTTTAAGCGAATTTGAAGAGGATATGATACCCTTCGAATTCTACTCCATTTCCCATTCATTCTTTGGGTTTTACGCTGATAATTTCTGGCCAAAGGGTCAGCCAGAGATTCCAAAACTGATTCATCGGTGGCTCTCACCACACTCACTTGCTTATTGGTACATGTACGGCGGCTTTAAAACATCACAAGGTGACATTATCTTGAGATTGAAGGGAAGTCTTGAAGGTGTTGAGAAGGTAGTAAAGGCTCTGAGAGGCAAATCTATGGAATGTCGGGTTAAGAAGAAAGGAAAAGTCTTCTGGATCGGACTTCAGGGAACTAACTCCGCTTTGTTCTGGAAACTAATAGAGCCTTACGTATTGGAGGACTTGAAAGATCATTTGAAACCTGCTTCTGAATCAATGGGCAATGATGGGGAAGGTGAAGACCAAAGGATCAACGTTGAATCAAGCTCTTGATCACAGTGACGTTTGTTTCAATTCAGGAGAAGCACATATTGGATACAACTCAAAACTACATGGGGTTTGATATCATCGTTGGATGTAAGAAACTGTAAACTATGGATAAAATCATTTTAGTTTATTCATAATTTTTATATAGATGAAATATATTCAAGCAAACCATGTCCATCATAAGCTCTTCTCTATAATGTGTATAATTCAAAATTCGATATTTCCATATATCTTCTCTAAGTATATATTTTCATATTTATCTTAAACTTTTTTTTTATAAGGTTTTAGAAAAGAAAAAAAAACATATTTATAACAATGATACACGTTTTTAAGAGATAACAAATTTTCAAGTTTTTTTATAAAGACGATTTGAAAGTCTAGTTACCATACCAACACCAAAAACATCCAAAAACAGCTTTGACCAATATATATTTGAAAATATTTTTGATAGGAAATATTTAAAATTAAAAAAACGTAAAAAAGCATTTTTGGATAATTCCCATTTTAATATATATTATATTTTTTTTATCAAAAAGAAAAATTATATATATATATATAACATATGTGACTAGTGGGATCGATGGTCTTTGCAATGATTGGTCATAAACGTGTTGCTGATGTGGTTTCCTTTTTTTAAATCTCAAAGTAATTATGCTTTTTTTTTTGGGCCGTTTATATTTGAAACTTAGAAAACATAGTACTAAAACAAGAGTAAACAAAGGATAATGAACTCTTTATTTCTGATTTCTTGAATAAATTACGTGAACACCTTTTTTTTTTTTTTTTTTTTTTCCTTTACGTGACAATTTTTTTCTTAATATATACAAAGCTTTAGACCATCTTTGATCTCTCACTCCCACGCACAAGGATCGTGAAGTGCATCGAGAAGGAGCTCTTTGGAAATTTTTCTCTGGTGAGGATCAAGTAATCATCCTTACTCTCTTTAGTTCGATTTTAATCGATCTAGCTCATGAACGTTTCATGGACTTTGACTAGTGTCACAATTTATTCTAAACTCTTATAATCACAATTTATCCCCAAAATGTTTCTTTTTGGTAATCAGATCATACGAAGTTGGCAAGAGTATAGGGAGAATGGCTGAGCTCGAACAAGACCAGGCGGCCGAGGAATCATTAGCGCGGGAGTATGTGTGCTCGCTCACGGACGCTGGTATGAATATCGTGGCTTACATTAGCAGCCATAAAGCAGGTCAAGACACGCTTCAACAGGAGGAGACGACGACGAGGGAGACGTATGAGAATCTCACTCAGCTTCAGAGATCCGCAATGGTTGTTGATATTATGAAGGCGGATGCAGAGCAAAGGATGCAAGTGATTTGTTTCGAACGGGTAAAGACAGCTTTGGTATCAGAGGATTACGAATCCGCGGCCAAATTCCTACTGAAATTCCTACAGATTGATTCGAAGGATTCCGACCCCGAGCTGAGAGAGGAGCTTCTCGCGTTGAAAAAGCAGCTTGAAGATATTATCAAAGATAAGCTCTTGGCGGCCATAAACGAAAAGGACTACGATACAATTATGAGGTTTGTGCGACTATTTACTCCACTGGGAATGGAGGAAGAAGGATTAAAGCTTTATGTTGGTTACCTGAAAAACATCATTGCAATGAGAGGGTTAACGAATTACCAACAAGTTGTTATGAGCGTGGAGCAAGGTTTTGAACAAGTAGATTTCGTTGAGTGCTTTACCAAATTGTTTGATGACATTCTCACGACTATTCAATACAACGACGCGATCTTGAGGGCTCTTGGTGGAGAAGACGGTATTGTGTATGCCATATGTGAGCTGCAACAGGAATGTGACTTCAGAGGTTCGTTAATCTGGCAGACGTACAAGGATTATCGAATGTTAGCTAGATTTACCAATCAGAATCTTCCTGAAAGACCTGACCCGAAAGTTGCTGAGCTGTGTGTTAAAGAGATATTACTCCTGATGCGGTTGAGTAAGGATTATACAGAGTTAATGGTCTCAAAACTCAGGTCTATAGACCCTGAGTTGTTGCCGAGGAAGACAAAGGCATTTCGAAAAGGAACTTTTAGCAAAGAGATACAAGATGTCACAGGGTTATATGTTATACTAGAAGAATATTACTGTATTGTAGAAAGATTCTTTATGGTTGAGAGTGTGAGGCTTGCCATAAGGATCGACATGAAGATACCAGACAGCCTTATCACTTCCATGGTTGGTGATGTGTTCTATCTGTTGAAAACTTCTCTGCTGAGGGCGATTTCAACTTCAAATATAAGATGTGTTCTTTCTATATTGAGCTATGCTGCTAGCTTGTTGGGCAATGATTACCATGACGCCTTGCAGCAGAAGTTAGGAGAGCCACACGTTGATGCTAGGTTGTTCGTGGATGAGATGGTCGCCAACAACAACGGAACTGAGAATGCATCTACTTTGAACGATATAGATGTGAGCTGCGAGTACATACTCAAACTCAATTGTGAAATCGAGGAGCAATGTTCTAAGGTTAGTACTTATATTTCTGATACTAATTAGGAAGGACTAGATTGATCGATATATATATATATATGTTGACTTTTCCGTTAAATAGTTAAGTTTTGTTTGCTTTGTCGATTTAAGCACGACGTTTGATCTCTCTTCAAAATGCGAGAACGCGGTTAACTATCCATGAGCTGTTTTCGTTTAGTCATTAAATCATCCTAAATTTGAAAGTTCGGGATTTGTTAAGAAATGACTCTTATATATACTTCTTTATATCTCAGGGAACTCATGTAAAAATCTTTCTCATTATCTTTATGTCCTGTCCTAATCACAGGTGTTTACTCCAGCGTCAGCAGATCATGAAAGGGTAAAATCATGTCTTTCCAAGTTAGACGCATTAGCCAATACATTCAAGCAGTCAGGCTTGAAACAGCTTGTAGCAGATCGAGAGAGGATACAGTCATGCCTATCTGAGTTAGGCAACTTAAGGAACCCATTAAGCCAAGCATGCATTGAACAGCTAGTGGCAATCGTAACACAAAGAATCCGCCCTGTTCTGGAAACCGTAGCTACCGTGAGCTACGAGTTAATAGAAACCGAACATGCACAGAACAGTACTGAGTGCAGCCCGTGGGTCAAACTTCTTCTCAACTCAGTTGAAAGAAACGTAGCGTCACTCAAATCACAAACAATATCCGAAAACTACGAATCGTTTCTTGATCGCGTACTCGAGTTCATAGCTAATAGACTCGAAGTCTTAATGATGCAGAAATGTTTTAGCCAGCTTGGTGGACTTCAGCTTGACCAAGACACAACGGCCTTGACTAGTCACTTGTTAGATATGTCTGAAAGGGATGTGACTCATGTGAGACACAAGTTTGCTCGGTTAAAACAAATGGGGGACTTACTGAAGAGTAACAAGTATCTATTTGTCAAAGAAATTATGGAGTATTGCTCTTGGAACTACGGAAGAGTCATGACACTCACGCCAGGGGAGATTCTATTTGTGTTAAGTCTGCGAGTCGAGTTTAAACCGGAACCCACTACTGCTCATTTGGTTATGTGATGTAGCGATTCCTCTTGTCATCTTCTATCCTTACTTTATTATTGGCTTTGTGTTTTTCTTTTACTTGATTGGGTTTTTTTAATTTGTTTGAATTTGTTGTTTGTTGTCTCTTGCTTCTTCTTTTTTTGGGCAAATTGTTTGTTGTTTCTTGTTAAGTTTTTCCACATTTGGCATGAAATTTAAACCTTTTTTATTATTTATTTGGGTAGGCACATGAATTTGTTCAATTCGCGGTTAATTTATGGTAACACTTTACATTTCGTAAATGCTACTACACAAAAATTAGAGTACAAAAAGTAAGTAAGCGCGTGTATTTTTTAATTTTGGTCTCTCACATATCATAGCGTTAAGTATTTTTTTTTTTATAATTAGAAGAGAAGTACAAAATTTGTCAAAACTTTTGTAGAAATTACCATCCAATTTTAGATTAAGGAAAGTGTTTATCAAGATTGGAAGGAATAATTGGTCATAATAACTTACCCTATCCAAATTGTATGAGTCCGCGTGTTTATCCGTTTGCCCGGTGGGGCTCGCGCATCCCTACTATAGTAAAAGAGAAGTACACAAGGGATTCGGGTCGGGTTTTTCAAAAAATTCCGGGTTAAATTTCCAATCGGATACTTGCCAAATGTTTTGTTAAATATTTTCCAAATATTTCAATAATATACACCAGATTCCTATCATTTAGGAAACTATATTAATGTAAAATATTTTAATGCTAAATAAAAAATATGTCTTATAAGGAAAATTTGTTTATGAATATAAAGATCTCAATCTTTTAAAAATATTCTAATTAGTATATTAATTTCTTATATGAATAAACAAAAAAATTATATTTTTTTATAGGTTTAAATATTTGATATATAGAAAAAAATAATTTAAAAATATTTGGTATAACAAATATAAAAATGCATCTAAAATACATAAATAATGGTAATATAATCAATAAAAATGTTACTTAGTTTGAATTAGTTAAATGTTTCAAAAAATAAACTTTGAATATAGATATATATATGGCTATAAAAAACGAAAGATTTTATTAAATTAGTGTGACGTTTATAATATATTAAATCTTTATTATTATTTTTTATATTTTCTAATATATTAAATAAAAGATTTTAATCAGAATAAAAATAGTATATGAAAAGATGTTTCAAAATTATTCCAATCTTTATCAATTTGAATTACCTATAAAAAAGAATAATATTTCATCAGTAGCATAATTAATGCAAAATTATAGAGATCCATATATATCTAGAAATGGTTATATTTGAATTTTGAAAAAACAAATATTTTGACAATCATTAATATATTTCAATGAGTAATACGAAAATATTTTGGATACAAAAATATAATTAAAAATTTAGGATAATTATTATAATCAACTAAAAAAGACTTTCATAACAATATTTTATCTTTGTAATTATTAGTCATCGAATCACTACTAATAAAAAATCAGTCATAAATAATATATAATATATTCCATAAGTTAGTTTAAATAAATTACCTTAAATTCTGAATTTTCCTTAAAATGTTCTAAACATATAGATTAAAGAGAATTTTTGAGAAATACCCCTGTTTTCTATCCATTTTCAAAAATACCCCTTTTCAAATATGAAAAATTATAAACTTTTATATGGTTGATAAGGTACATCAGGTACATCAAGATCATCTTTACTATTGGGTGATTAAAACCAAATATTTATAAGGATTTAAAATGTTCTAAACGGCATTTATAAGGTTTTAAAATGTTTTTATAAGGTTTTTAAAAGGTTTACAAAATTTTTATAAGGTTTTTAAATGATTTTTAAAGGTTTTAAAAGGTATTTATGAAATATAAATTTACACACATATAAAGATAATTTGTGTCTATAAATATAAGCTTACGCATAATTTTTTTGATAAATTTCAAATTTATAGTGACTTATTGATAAAATTAGAAAGAGTGGTATTTTTAAAAGATCATTTTTGAAATTTATATTTATAATGTTGGCTTTGATTGGTAACACGCATAATGGCATACTGACGTTTTATTTTGACATGATTATTTATACATTTTAAATTTGTATTCAAAATGTACTTCCGTTTTATATTAAGCATGGTATTAGAAAACTCATTACACATAATATCAAAACAAAATCTTTAATATGTGTATTCCTATTCTCGATTTTAAAAACTAATTCTATTTATCATCTTGAATTAAGCTTTCACATTTAAAATAAATCCCAAATTTGTGCTGAAAATTCACAAAGGGCATTTTTTTATTTCCTTTAAAAATTGGGAATAATTTCATAGCTAATATATTAGTAGCAATCATTATTAAGACTAATTGAAAAACTAATGTTGACAAAAAAAAAAAACTAATTGAAAAACTATTAATTGATCTTTAATAAAAAAGATATATCCTTAATTAATATATATATATATATACTCTCCTTGTTCATGATTAATCTATTTTATTAAACTTTCACACATATTAGGAAAGTGTATTAAAAGTTGACTGTAAATGCATCAATTTTATGATTTATAATTTTTAAAAGTTTAAACTAATAAATATAAACTTGAAACTTACAATTTATCATAAAAAATAATTGATAAAAACTGCATAGATAACTTCAAAATACCTCTTTTTGAGACAAAAAAATTTCTAAAAAAATGGATTAATAAGAAATACATGTAGTACATTATAAAGAAAAAAGAGTATGAATAATAAGTCTGGTACATTATGTTAGATATATGGAAAAAAACTATAATAACTAGAAAAATACAGTCAACTCCTGAAATAAAAACCTTGAACAAAACTGTTATTTATATCATAAATTCTAGTTTCTAAACCACTGCCCATCTAGTCTGCACATAATTTTTTCTTCTTCTATTTTTATGACTTAAAAGTAAGTGTCCATTTTCTGAGTACATATATTTCTTTTTCAGCAATTTCAAAAAGATTGATCACTCAAAATGTATTCAAAAAAATTCAGTCTTGAAATAGTTCTCCAATAACAAAGATGGTCGAAGGTTGTAGTGCACACTCGTGTGATTTTATGGAAATAAATAAGCATCTTCGTAAAGCAATGTCTTCATACCTGGCGGCTGCGCACACGTTTGTGATTCCGACAAGGCGATTGTAGTTCACACTTTTGTGATTTTGCCAAATAGTCATCTCATTTGTGCATTATGTTTCAAATATGAGATATTGTTCATTTTTAGTGAATTTACAAGATTTTTAAAGTTTTTAAAATTTTCAAACTACAGTTTGAAATTTTTATTTCTCACTCAAATTAACTTATAAACTACATTATATTTTAATACTCTTTAAAAAAAATATAATAATCTCATCATTTGGTTACTCCCATGATAGACTTAACCAAAAAAAAATCGTTAAAAAATGTTCCAAAACCAATTTCCTTAAAAAATTACGCCCCAACACATTAAATGAGCTACAGTAAAACCTCTATAAATTAATAATGTTGGGACAATGGAAATCTATTAATTTATAGAGGTATTAATTTATATAGATAGATATTCTTAATTTGTAAAATATTTTCAAAACAATATTTAAAAATAAAATCTAATCATGATAATTAATATTTTATATAATCAATTACAAATAAAATAATAATTATTATGTATTAAAAGAGAATGCTAACTATTTTCATATAGTAAAATATTAGAAATAAAATCTAACAAAAACTTATGTGTCTATATATACATATATTTTAAAAAATTTACCTAATTATTAATTTATAATATTGATGGGACCATATATTTACAAAGGATTTTCAAAAAATTATTATCTTATTATTTTATCGAAATGTGTCTAAAATTACACTGGTACTTGGGACCGGAGAAATTTCTTAATTTGTAAAGATTATTAATTTATCGAGTATTAATTTATAGAATTTTTACTGCATAATGATTTGACAATTTGTACTTTATACGTCAAAGAAGTTCCATCAAAACAATTTCAGTTTTCTTCTGTATTTTTTATTTTCTCTACAAATTCCAAACATTGAAAGTGTTAATTGTAAGTTGAAGAAATTTTCAGTTTTTAATCAACTTATTCGGTAATTTTTTTTTAATATTTTGAGTTTCTCTGTCTAAAACTCTAAATATATTATCTTCATATACCAAATTGTATTTAAATAAACTATTTGATAGTCAAAAACAAAAAAGTAATATTGTAAAGAAACTAAATAATTAAAAATATAAATCATAAAACCAAATATTTATTGTGTAGTAGTGGCCATAGTGGAGTAATCCACCAAACTATCCACTGTTTATAGTATGTGGAATGTACCCGAAGGGACAACTATCAAATTAAATTATTTATATTTCGTTTTTTTGGCAGTAACCAATAAATTTATTAATTTGTATTTTTTTATTTGTTTATTTATTTTGGCAGCAAGTAATAAATAATAAAGTGAATAAATAAATAAATAGAGACAAAATTTGTTGGAGGAAGCAAGTGGGTCATAGGGTTTTCTTCTCTCTGTGTGTCGTTTTGATTTCTGCGTTGAGAGACAGGTCTCCGTCTACAGTCTTAGAGACGGAAGCCACTTAGAGCAGAGAGATACATCAACACACAACGTTCTTTGTCTCTCTTCCTCTGATTCTTTCTCTCTTCTCTCTCTCTCTCTCGTCTCTGTTTCGGTAGTTTCAAGAAAGCAGAAGCAAGAACAAGAAGATGGGTCGGTCAAAGTGTTTCATGGACATTAGCATTGGAGGTGAGCTTGAAGGAAGGATTGTTATTGAGCTTTACGATGATGTTGTTCCCAAAACTGCTGAGAATTTTCGATTTCTCTGTACCGGAGAAAAGGGTATTGGTCCTAATACTGGTGTCCCTCTCCATTACAAGGTTCTCTCTTTCTCTCTATGTGCTTGCTTTTGTGAAATGTTGAAATGGGTGTTTGGTGTTTTTGTGATTTAGGGTTTGTGGTTTAATGGGTCATTCGTCTTTTGGGTTTTAAAGATCAAAACTTTGGTATAGTTGTGATTAGTGTACTGTAGTTGGTAGTTGTGAAGTAAAAATCAAAACTTTAGGATGGAATTGTACTGTAGAACGTTTCTGAATGATTTTGATCTTAGGTTTAGTGGGTCTTTGTTTGAATCTCTTTGTAAGTTCTTATTCTTGTATTGCCTAATAGCTTATGAGTTTGTTTCAGTA